TCATCTTGGATAAATATAATGTTCGTTGTTGTACCAATTTTTCCTTTACTAACCATATATACAGGTCGACTTCTTAATGCATCGTTAAAGTTTTCAATACCTTCCTTTTCAAAATGTATGTAAAATCTTCTTGGTAAGTAGCAGGTAAAATTTTCAGTTTCGGCCACAATACCGTCACCAAATTTGGTTTTACTAAACCTCAGTTTCACTATTTTATACTTTTGATTTATATGTAAATCTTTAATATTCTTCAGTTCTTTATATGAAGTTGCCTTGTTCAACTTTTGCAGATCCATGTTGAATGTAAATGAATGTTATAACTGAGTTCAAATAAGTCTCATATATGTATATATACCTTACCCGACCATATTTCTCCAGTACCTCCTCTATCTTATTTACCCTCCTACTTTTTATAGTGGAAGGGTTAGGCTATCAGGATATATATACCTGCATTAAACAAGTAAATGTATCATTATTTCAACATTTACAATTATTTAACTTGAAAATATATATTTTCTTATTAATATGGTTTACAGGGGTAAGTAATAATTGAAACCTTAATATCTCGGAAATAATAAATTATTTTTTTGTGATTATCTGGTTTTTGACTAATATATATTTGTTACAGATTTTGTCAATTGTCCATTAGTTCCCAATCATCGTCTCTTACGACGTCGGTTGGCAAAACATTTGAAAAAATGTAGACGAGACCTGTATCAGCAACAATTAGTTGCCCGTAATCGTTTCTTACGACGTTGGTTGGTAGAACATTTGATAAAATGCAGCCTGTATCAGCAACAAAATTTAAATCTGAGGAACTGGGAGAGCATCAATGATGCATGGGCCATGGGTTGCTCAACAGGAGGGAGAGGGATCATATTGGAATAACGCTCCAAATGATGATCTCAGGAATTTAACTCAGAGAAACCGGGAGCGTATCAACAGATATCAAAGGCAAAATCGGGCCTGTTTATTCTGCTTCGCGGTTCAAAATACGGTCAGTATGTCCTCCGAGTGCAGGTCAAATGTTTTTCTTGAAGTTGATATCTACATTCCTGAAGGTGTTAGGTGTTGTGGTCAGAAATGGACTGATTTTTCGGCCACTAATTCTAAGAAGAGTTTATGTGCCTTTTTTCATTGAATAAGGTTGATTTTGTTTACCTATTAACATTCTGTGACCCAGTGCCTCACGAAAGGGGTGTTCGACATATAAGTTCTAAGGATCTCATGACATTCCTTTGCAAGATGAGACAAGGATTATCGGATAAACTTTTAGCAACTCTCTTCAATTATTCGAGCAGACAAGCTGTTAGTTTGGCTGTAGGAAAGGTCAGAACGTCACTAGCAATGCGATTTGTACCGGAGAATATCGGCACCGCAGCAATTACAAGGGAACAGTTCATCGCCCGCCATGTAACCCCATTTGCCAACGAGTTGTACAACAATGAGCCCGCTGTGCCAAAGGTAATTGTAGTTTGCGATTCTACCTATGCATACATACATAAGAGTAGCAACTTCCGCATTCTTCGACAGTCCTATTCCCTGCATAAAGGGAGGCATCTTCTCAAACCAACACTTCTTGTCGCGCCAGATAGATATATTCTTGCGATTCTTGGGCCATATTTCTCAGACACATGGAATAACGATGCAGAAATCCTTAGGGATGCATTTGAGAGAGATGCCGAAATCTTGCAGGAATAGTTCCAAAATGGCGATGTTGGTCGATAGAGGTTATAGGGATGCTGCGCCTTTGTTGGCCCGTTTAGGGATTGAACACAAAATGCCGGCTTTTTTGGATAGAGGGCGCAATCAGTTTAGCACTGAGGAAGCGAATGAAAATTGTCTAATTACCAAGATAAGATGGGTAGTTGAAGCGAGAAATGGGCACATAAAGTTCATTTTCAAAATTTTCCGAGAACCATTCAATATTCAGCAGACAAAGAACATCGGGGATTATTACAGAATCGCTGGAGCTTTGATAAATCAATACCGTCCCCCAATAATAATGCAGAATGCCACAGTCGAAATTTCCAGGCATATGCTCCAGCGAAAAGACGAAGCAAACGTAATGCAAGCGCGAGTGGAGGTAGACAGACTGCGGTATATACATGGACAATGGGCGCGCCTCAATGACCAAGTACTCGATTTCCCAGACTTGACATTGAATTTTTACGGGACTTGACAGTTGGAGTATATCAA